GAGGTGAGGAAAGCAAATATATATTCCTACTCCAACACTGATTAGGAATGGGAAAATATGCACATGGTCAACCACATGTGTTGGTGATAATATTAAAAATTCTGAGAAAATTTAGGAAAATTCTGAACACTTCTTCCCGAATTCGTATATAAACTTTTATAATCAATCTGAAAAAGCTTCAACTCAGCTGAGGAAAGCAAACATAAATTTTTCCTATACACTTGTTATAATATGAACTTCGTTATTTCATTTCCCATCAGGTTCCCTTGGAGGCTCTCAATCAACGACGAACATCTGTAGGGTGTGGCGCAGTCGAGCAGGCTGCTGTTGCTAGTACGGCGCTGAGTGCTGCGAAGACCTGGGAGGCCGGGGAGAATGATAAGAGAGTTTCTTGGCAATGGTGATACGATCGAAAAAATTCAGAAATTATCAATGGAGTTTCACCACCCTAGTGATATGATGTTTCACGACTACTGCGAATATCGGGTTTTTCACGGAGTATTACGCCACTTCGCGTAAAACGAGTGAAACTTCATCGTTGTACTATCAGCGTAGTCGGCCGTATGCATATTTTCCTTATACACTTTTATAAGCCTTTTCACGATTTGAATCTGTGATGGTAACTGTCGATCCTTGTGTGGTTTTGAAAAAATTTTTTTGGGGAAAAATTTTGTGTTTTTCGGCTGAGTTTAAGTAAAGTATAGCAAAATGCAGTTTGTGAAAATTTTTTGTGAATTTTCATATCGTTTTTTTGTGAATTTTCATATCGTTTTTTCGTGAATTTTCATATCGTTTTTTTGTGAATTTTCATATCGTTTTTTTGTTAATTTTTCTGTGTGTGTGATTTAGGTATCGCGGACCGTCGATTCACAACTGCGTGTATCACCCTCATAGACCCGGCACCATTCGAGACGTCGCTAGGACTTTTAGATTTTACTGTTCTCCGGAGTGCTTAAAACAAGGATATAGGTTTTTGGCGGTAAGAAGGGCTTTTTGTGAAATTTCGGATTTTTTGGAGATTTTTCGGTGATTTTTGATTTGGTGAGTGGCTGTTTAGTAAGTGATAAAATGTGCTAGCCATATTATCGTAGTTGTAATGATTATATTTTGATATTTCGGGTTGGTGATGAAAAAAATTTGTATTGGAGTTTTACGCGAAGTGAACGTGAAGTGGCGTAATACTCAATGTGAAAAAGGCGATATTTTTACTAGTGTTTTTTTTCGTGTGGAAAGAGTGAAATTTCAGCGACATAACGAAAGGATGGTATTCTAGTTGTAGTAGTATCAGCAATAATTCTGCTTACGTGTTGTCACGCTCATTCGAAGTGATACATTTCGAGATGAATATTGGAGTTTACCCCTAGTGATACGATGAAAAACACTAGTAAACACATATTTCACAACTACTGTATATCACCGCAAATATCGCCTAGTTTTTCACCGCCGAGTTTTACGACGCCACTTAAAACGGGTAGTCGTGAAACTGCTGTGTTGGTGATGGTGACGCAATTTTAGATTATTTTCCTCTTACAATGAAGGTATGTATACATACGATTTTTGTTGTTCATATTTTGCGTGAAGCCCTTTAGAGCTAGCAGTAATATCGTACAACAGCAGCATGTGTTGGCTACATGAAAATTGTGAGGAGAAATTCTTATTGGTTTTTGTATATAAACTTTTGAGCTCAATAGGTGAGGAACAGCGAAGATATATTACTACTCCGACACTGATAGGTTTTATCATATTTTCAGGATGAGCATTGTCTCCCCTGCCCAGCTAGTGATAAGGAAGATGATTGTATGTACTGTCCCTGGGCTACCATTGAGGAGGTGAGAATTTATGCTATCTTGTGCATGCGTGCAAATTGTCTCTCAGGACGAGGCAGCGGAGCACAGCACTACGGCAACGTTAGGACCGGACTTAGCAGCACCAGGAAGTGGTCGTGACCAATCGCCTGTTAATGTAAGGAAAAAATTTTTTTCGGAAAATTTTGTTCTCAGGAAGCACCTGCATTAGCAGGATCATGTTGGACTGCTGTAGCAAATACGCGGACGTATACGCCGACACCCGAAGATACCGATCGGGTGCTCTGTGTGAAGTAAGGGCTGAGGAAGCGCAGTTGACTTTTTGGGAAAATGTAGTGGAATTTTAGTGGAATTTATGAACATTTAATGATTTTTTCCTCCGATTTCGATGAATTTTAATGGAGTTTTAACTGTTTTTCACGTGGCATGAAAAACGTGAAGTAAAATATGTTTTTCCCTGGGTGAAACTTTATTATTGTTCATTTTTTGTGATTTGGTTTTTTTCTTTTTTTCCCGAAATTTATAATAAATTTTCGTAAATTTTTGAGATTTTTTTGTTTTTTTTGCGCCACATAGCTGATCTGAATTTTTACAGTGTGAGAGTTGGTTTCAACTTTTTCCCGAAATTTACACTAAATTTTCGTAAATTTTTGAGATTTTTTTTCTGTTTTTTTGCGCCACATAGCTGATTTGATTTTTCATAGTGTGAGAGTTTCACTGTTCTTTTTAGCGTAAAATTTATATATTAATTTCACGACCACTCGTTTTTGAATTTGTATTTTCAGAGTATACAGCACTGAGCCGATACCATACCACTCCTCCTCCTCAGCTACTCGCATGTGTAGGGTAGCGGATGATAGAGTACAAATAGTGTTGCAGTGTTATGTCATTTCGGAGGTGATTTTCTATAGGTAGATGACGATAGCAGCGAATCAGAGGATGCATGTATGGCTGATCGGGAGGGGACGGGGAGGTCTCGGAGGAGTGGTAATAGTAGGACTGGGAATTTATCAGTTTTGTCGATGATTATTATTGGAGTTTCACGACTACCCGTTTTACGTAAAATTCGGTGGTGAAAAACGCGATATTCGCGGTCTGTAGTAGTGGTAGTGGTTTTTTTCATATCACTAGGGTCGTGAAATTCCATTGATAATTTGATTTTTTCCATTTTTTGGTGGGATTTTCTCAGTTTTGTGGATGTTTTCAAAATCACCCTGGGAGTAAACCTGATATATGCGATAAAATAATGACGATGATTACACCTTGTCAACATTTTCAATTTCGTAAGATTCATGGAAAATTGTATGAGCTGAATTTCCTGTACTGGTGTACTCGTTGATGGCGTTGTTTTTACTCGGGTTAAAACGTTCGACATTCCTTGTCAGATAACGCCTCCACGGACTCAGGGCCGGTTATCGCGGGTGGTACTCTCCAACCATTGACATCGATCTCACAAACTGGCAGCGGATCTGTGTATGTTGCATACAATCGATTAATCGGGCGTGCGCTTTTTGCATTCAGGTGTGTGTTTAGGTATCTAATGACCATGCCGTGCTTTGACCCGATGACTTATTCTCCACCACTTCGAGAAATGCTGTCGGTTTATGGGGCGTTGGATCACATAGCCACGGGTCAGGCGATAAAGCTGTTGAATTGGAATATCCTTGCGGGTGAGTTGAAGCAGTGTGGGGAAAATTTTGGGAAATTTCTGGTGGGTTTTTGGAAATTTTACACGAATCTGTGGGTGAATTTTTAGTTGTTGGATTGGAATATTTGTGCGGTATGAGTTGTAGTTTTGGAAAATACGAAAATTGTGAGGAAATTTCGGGAATTTATTTTTGGTTTCTGAACGCTTCCATAGGAATTTTCATAATGTAGTGAAAAAACTGTAAAATAGTAGTGTCGGGAAGTATGTACATGGTCAACTAGATGGGTTGGTGACTATATGGAAATTGTGAGGAAAATTTGAGTATTTGAGGTTTTGAGTATTTTTCGGCGAATTCGTGTGTAAATTTCCAAACTCCTGAGCTCGGGTAAGGAAAGCGAATATATATTCCTACTCTGATATTGAGTTGAAGATATGTTGTGGTTGAATCGAACCGGGTACCTTTGGATGCATAGGCTGACATGCTAACCTGTTTGTCAAGGTGGATTGTAGAGGTATTGGAGTTTTAGATATATATTGTACGCCACAACAGTACCCGTATTGTCCCCCATGGGCATTGAGTTGGAATTATAGGAGGCATTTGATTATAAAGCAGATAGCAGCGTTAGAAGGAGATATAGTGTGTCTGCAGGTGACGGCGGTGGGGATTGAACCTGGCTCGTTATCATCATCGTTGATAATGTTGAATTATAGTAGCAATTTCCATGTGTATACAGGAGAAAATATTATAATGTTTGAACCTGGCTGAAATACGGTTTATAGTTTTTTTTCACTTTGAAAATTACCTCGTGGAAATTTTTCCAGAAAATTTTCCGAAATTTTCGGGATTTTTTTGCCAAAAAAATTAAGGTGGGATTCTTCGTATTTTTCGCGTTCTTTTTTTTCAGGAAGTCCAGTCGGATCATTTGTATACATCTTTGTTACCAGCACTGGAGGGTTTGGGGTTTGGGTATTTATATGCTCCTAAAACTAGGAGAATATTCACGGATAAGTAGCCTTGCCGGGATTTGAACCGGGGACCTTTCGCATGAGAGTGTGTATGCAGATACTGTGAAGAAGGATGCGCAATTTTGTATAGAAAAAGTAGATTTTCTGTCGTGGATTCATTCACCATTGAATTTGACGCCCATGCTAAGGACAGCGCAAGATATCAGGGCGCGCGAAATACGAAGCAACGGAATAGATTGAGTAAAGGGAATGTTGCCTTAGCGTGCTTGTTGGAAGATTCGCGGTAAGTTTTGGGCCTGTTTTGTATCATGTCACGCGGGCACGAAATGAATCTTTGGTCAGGTGTGGGGGCAGACCTCTGGGAATTGTTAATACGCATATTACTGCAGATGTTGACGCCGGGGATGTTAAATTGTGGCAGGCTATGTGCATGCTGGGTGAGTATTAAAAATGGCGTCGGAGGGATTCGAACCGGGGACCTTTGGATTCCTCTTTAGAAGTTGTACAGGGCTGGAGTAACAGCCAAAATGGAGTGCTACCGGTCATCGTGTGTGGTGATTTTAATTCAACACCGGAATCGGCGGTTTATGAACTCCTCACGACTGGTCGGCTGAGCCCCTCCTCAATACCGGTAGGCCATAGAAAAATTATATTTTTTATTTCTATTTTTTTGTTTTTATTATTTTTCCAGGATGACCCTTATGGTATACTTCCACCGGTAAACCAGATGCACCACTCATTGCCATTGCGTTCGATATATCCGGCTGTAGTTAATAGTGAAGCTACTTATACGAATTACACGCAGAAGTTTCAGGGTAATCGAAAGGTCCCCGGTTCGATCCCGGCACGTGACATTTTTAGGTACGCTGGATTATATATGCTTTACTCAAAATTCTCTTCGAGGCCTGGCAGTGTCTAACACATACAGTTATGAGGAGCTGAGTGCTGAAACGGCGCTGCCGAGCCCAACACAACCTAGTGATCATATACTAACTGTTGGTGTGTTTGCATACACGTAGTAATACCAGAACTCACGGAACTCCTCTGAAAATGGAGGATGTGACTTTATGTGGTAAGTAGTTGTATATGTGCATGCGTGCAGATTTGTTTGTTTTTCAGGCCGCCAAATTTTCGCCAAATGTGTGATGTATAATATAACGGCCGCTATGAGGTGTCATGGTTGGAGCCCGTCTCCCATAGTAGAATTTTGTGGCGCAGTGACGGATCCAAAGAATAAGCAGAATGTCTCTGGCGTATTGGCTCTTCGAAGCAGTTGATATGTTTCTGCTAGCGCTGCGTACCGTATCATTGTATTATTTTCATCGTACATATATTTCTTCGGTCAATGTTTGTGGGTTGAAATAGTGTAGTAGGGGATGATCGCGTGCTGTCTATCGGATGGTCGTGAGTTCTATTCCCGCACGTTGCAAATGTGTGATCCATTAACATTGCTCAATCCATTGGAGAGTTAGATATCCAACAACTCACTTAGCATCCTTGGTATATCCCCTTCATACAAACTAGGTGTCTCTCACCTGGTATTAAATTCTTCAACGCTATATTGGAGTTGGGTTAACGGGTGCATACCATGGGGGGAAAATTAGGTGTATGAATTTTCAATGCTTCTAGACTTATATCATTCGACTCTGTGGACTTCACTGCAGCAGAAAATGCCAACACGTATGTTAGAATGATGCTATTATCGATTTTATTAAAAACGTGCGAAAATGCAGGCGTACCTTGTGGGTGCGGAGGCATTTGGTTATAGAGCAGATAGCAGCGTTAGAAGGAGATATAGTGTGTCTGCAGGTGACGAGGGTGGGGATTGAACCTGGCTCGTTATCATCATCATCGTTGGTAATGCTGAATTATAGTAGCAAAATATACGCGGTTTTGAATCTTGTGGTTTATCCAGTTTGTCTGTATTCCTTATGAATCGTCGTTTATGCGGCGCAGTGGGCTGATGAAAACAGCAGCAGTTATAGTGAAAAGGGCTCGACGAGGGCATGAGGGTAGTAGTCCTTGGGAGGATGTGGTGACCACTTGGAATGTGTCTGTGTTGGGGTATAGGTGCAGTCTCTTCAGCCGAGTTTGGGAGCTCTCTCAGTAGTTATATAAGTAGGGATAAGAAAATCAACAAGTATTTCCTCAGAATTTTCGTATTGTAATGAGCGAATCATCCAGGAACCTCTAATGTTCTCGGGGGGAGCTCATTTTGAATTTTCCACGGATGGCTAGGACGACTTTCTAAAATCATTCTCCCATGTAAATGCCATCAGCGCACTAGGAATATTTTTTATATTGTTGTTGAACCTTGGGGGATGTTATTTCTCAAAGGTAAATTAATTCCTGTTTATGACCGACACATGTAGTTGACAATATGCATATTTCCCTGTAGTGGTAGTGATAGTTGAATATATAATAAGTGGCTTTATAGTATAAAACCACCAATATGAAGTTTATACTGTTTTTATTATTATGTTATGAAAAGTAAGTACGTGGTCGTACGAAGTCAGCCATTTTATGATTCCCACTGTGTGTGTGAGAATTTAAAGCGCAACACCTACAGCTGAGTTGGACTCGCATCGATACGCGTTAGTTCACGAGGGATCACGCGTTTTACTCTTTTATTCATTTTCTAGTCAATCAGTGGAGTTTTACCCAAGGCCGATAATCGCGGTGATATGAAGTAGTCGTGAAGTATATTTTTCACTAGTGTTATTCATATCACTAGGGTGGTGAAACTCCAATGAAAGTGTTTCAGGATTGACGAAAATTGCATCCCGCAGTTTGAGCGAGATCCCAGCTGAGTCAACGACAGCGTCTTCGATAGCAATAACGGGTAGGAACCGCTCACCTTGTTACGCGAGGAGGCGTTTGTCAGATTGCAATGGTGATAGTGGTAGTAGGAAGCTGGTTGAAAAGACAGTATTAAACGGGTTTGGGAAATTAAATGGAAATGGTCAAAGCATGGTACGAGAGATTGAGCTGCTGTGTGGGAGAACGAAGGATAAAGGCGGCAAGATTGTAGACTTTGTAGAGCAGCTGCACTCAAGGGGGCTTCGGGAGGATATGTTGAGTAAGTGTGAATGTGTTTTTTACCAGTTTGTTGTTGTTGTGTGGTGGGGTGATGGATACTTAGAGACGCATTTAGTATCATTTTCTGCCGTGTATAGTTTTCGAATTGACCATTTTTTGCCGTGGTAGAGCTGTTAGTTTTTCCTAGTGGAGGAATGGGTGATTTTCTGATGACAAACACGATAGGTAGTTTTTGTAGGTTATGTTTTCCTAGGTAGAAGTAGTTATTTTTTTTTCGTATATATGTATCGCTTTAAGGTGGTTGGCTGCATATGAAATGATAACTAAGTAGTAGGTGAATTATCATTTTGGAATTGATTGCATATTGTGATTGTTTTTTGGTAGGTTGTTTGCCTACAGACTCCTTGGTGAAAATTCTTCAAGGGATGAGCAATCGTGTGACGAGTAAAAAATCGAAAATTAACGGACGAGCAGAGCAACTGATTAAACACATCGCGGAGGTGGTATCGGAGAGAGCTCAGCAGGGAGGTAATAAAACGGGGAGGAAATTCTTTGGGGAAATTTTAGTTTTTTTGTGATTTTCAGATATGCAATTGGAATCGCTGATTTACTTTTTATTGCGAATAACGCAGCTCGATCGGCTTGAACTCCTCCAAGTTGCGGCGAACCTTCCTATGCAGCGGTTCGATGAGTTTTATACTACCGGCGATCGGGGATTGGGTTTGTTAGCTACAGCATTACAGGTGAGAGGGTAATTTTTCAGGACTAGTAAAAAACGATTCCTGCATTTTTCGCAAAATTTTCTCGCAATTTGTGGAATTTTTCTGAAATTTTAGCATTTTTGGTCAATTTTTGGAATTTTTCTGAAATTTCAGCATTTTTTGCAATTTTTTTGTCATATTTCGTATTAATCAGTTGAAGTAGCTTATATTTTTTCGTGAGGAGAATTTAGTATTTGACGCCAATCAAGTGATGTTTAACACTGAGACTCAAAACAAGAAGTGTTGAATTTTGATGCGAAGCGACGCTTATGCTGTCATCGCTTCCTGTGCGCTGGTTCGTCGAAAATATTTCTCCACGACTACACCAGTTGAGCTCTCGGGAAACATTAGGGAGAGTGCAGATTGTGTATTCTTCGAAAATATAAAAATTCTTTTATTTCATGTTGTGCGCTGTGATTGTTAATGAGTGGAAAAAGCCCCTACCAGGGATTGAACCCGCGGTCATTCACAGTTTCTTCAGGTTACTCTC